ATGTATCTGATCAATGTAATAAATTGCAGATATTAAAATGTATACGATATCAATTGAAGAAATTATAAAATCGATCATTTAAGAAATCTGACTTGCACAGCTCTTGATATTTCATATATTTTTATAATTACATTCATTCTTTATGTCTGACCAAGATTTTCAGTAGATATTCACTGAGTTCTTGCAAAGACCGGGTATATCAATTTCATATTATGTTCACATTTATTAAAACAGTGTGTCAATAATAATCTGACAGCAATACGACAGTTTTTGTGCAATTTATCATCATCATCATCATCATCATCATCTTTCGCACCGAAGGTGAATCATTGTACACACAGTGTAACGACGCCTCTGCAAGCTCCGTAAGCGTGGCAGGATTTGTTAATTGCAATTAGGGACACCTCGCCTTACAACATTCTCGACGCGAAACACCGTTTCGATTCCTATCGCGTTGTCTTCTCGCCGAGATTAACATCATTCGGTTTCTCAATCGACCAGTTAACAACAAGAATAACTCGACGAGCTATAACTTCCATAGTTTGATGACTTAAATACATCAGACAGCGGATTTTTATACAAAATAAAAGAATTGCATTAAATCTCATGTTTCATTCCTTTCCTTGGCAAAAATTTCTGTCATGAACTCCTCGATTCCTTTGTTCTCCTTTTCGCTAGGAAAATTGTCTTTCTTATAAGACAATTTACTTGAATCTTTTCTTTCGAGCTTGAGAACGTGAATAGAGTGGCAGAGCGTTATCCGGTGACTGGATTTTCCGTTATCGCAGGATTTATTGATCCTACCTGGCGAACAACCGCCTCTAAATCCTCTTTGGGCATGTTGTTCGCTGTTCGTGGAAGAGACGTGTCGAGATAAAGGCGAAATACTCGAATAAAATCCTATCTGCTCTCGGTTTACTCGGTACCACCACGCGCTCTTTGTTTTCGCAATCGACACGTGAACAAAAGTGGAAGAAATTTTAGATCAATTACTGATTGCATTTCCTGACTGATTGTGGATAAAACTAAATTGGTGTGTACATAGGAAAATGTACAGTATTTGACTGCTGCAAGGAATTCTTATCTAAAATTCATTTTTTAAAACTGCAATCATAAAAGTTTTATCTTCTATAAAGATACGCAGTCAATTTTGTGCAGTACACGTGTACGGGAAACATAAAAATGTATTAAATCGAGGAAATTCTATAAAATTGTATGAAACACGCGAGAGGCGGTAGTTTCTATTCATAAACCGGAGGATTGCGCTGGGTACGCAATATCATAGTTATTCCTCGACGTCGATAACCTTTAACCGTAAATTTATTGACCACCCGGTACATGCCGGGATGAAACGCGTTGCGCAAACGTGCCACGCTGACAGGAGGAAGGAATAAAAAAGAAAAAAGGTACAATGGTGGCCGGGGGGGGGGGAGGAGAATGAAAAATGAGAATTATTTGGCGAGTAGCTTCGGGGGATCGTAAATAATTTATTTATACGGTCTCGCGTGGCGCCGGTAAAAGCGAGCCAAATGCAAACGAGAAATGCTAAGAATTGACCCTCCCGATTGCAAAGAGGGATGCGAGGCGAAAGCGAAAGCCCAGAATTAATGATTCGCTGATTACGCCTCGTGTCATGTCTTTTTCCCTGATAACAACAACTTTTGTGGAATTCATACCTCAGATTTCGTTTGAAGAATTTCTTTATTATTTNGGTGAGTACTGACACGTCTTCTTATTCCTCTTCATCTTCCGTATTTAACAGGTTCTTTCGTTTTTAATATATCAGATAGTTTAAAAATTAGTCAAAGAGCCTAGATCAATCAACTGATTCAAAAGACTTCGACTTCTTATTGAAAGTTTTTAAATTCAAAAGATCGAAGCTTCACGAGATTTAAAACTGGTGTAAGAACCATTTTAATTCAATCTATCTTAATCTTTGGTGACTAATTCCAAATTATTGTATTTATTCTTAATAACTGTGAAAGTGAAAGTCAGTTGAGAATAATGGTGAATCTTCGTTGAAGAGAAACACCTGTCTGCCTGCCTAAACTCCTAGATATCTTCAATTCTACTGAAACCCGGTGAAAGTTGTATTCGACGTTTACGGAGTTCCCTTCGAATGGATCGAACGAGTTTCCAACAGAACTTTCGGGTCAAGGATCTCCTCTTCTTGTTTCAAATTTTCTTCCCTCGCTTCTTCAACGAGATACACATAGACATTTGCAAGCTTGTAGAATATCGTATAAACAGTAAAATAAGTGTGGTAATGAGATGAATTATAAAAGACGCCTGCAAGTGTATAGAATATTTCATACATGCAGTAGAATACTCGTGACGAAAGAACGACTGTGCATTACTTGGCTAGCTTAACTATAGCTGTCACCGCGCTGTGAACGTCTGGTGATTTCAATGCGTGTCGTTGCGGTAAGACACGTTTTCGATTTCTCGAGCACAGTTATATTAGTTCAGACATTATTCAAACCATGATTAATCTAGTTATTACACAATTCATTCTAAATGGCAAAATACAATTCCTAATAAATATAATCTTGAATAAACTCAAAGAATTCTAATACGATTCTTACGAAATACAGTTTCTCATATAATTTCAATAGAATTCTTAATAAATTCGTATAATTCCAATGCAATTCTCACGAAGCTCCAATATAGCGTCTCGATGAACGTGAAAGTTTTTCAAAATCTTATTGATCGTCCGGAAACGGTTGATCACGATTACGAATCACGATTCACGATCGTGATGCTCGATCACGATACAGGGGAGAGGAGGGAACCTAGTTTAGAGAACCACTGACACCGCTCCCCGTCCCGGTCTGCTCGCCCTGACATTTCCAAGACTTTCTACTTCGACGGGGGTTCAATGACCCCGAACTGTTCGACGTGAGATCCAGCGATCGCGACATTTTCCGTGATCCAACCGATACGCATACGAATCTGGCCTTTTTCTTCAAATGTCATGAGAATCCTTCCACAGTTTCTTCCATTGTAAAACTTCAATTTTAAACGAAATTTTGTCTTCGTTGTTCCTTGTTTGATGATTTATGTAATCCACGATAGAAAGTATGTAATCGTGGTTGATAAATAATGAAGTATTTCTTCTCTTTAAAAATTTGGAGCTCATTCTTTATAATTAGATTTTAATATTTTCTGTATATAAGAAAACAGATTTTTCATTAAATAAATCAAGCATCTATTATATTTCTTGTACATAGAACAACTTGATTTGTTATTCAGGGACAGTGAGAGCACAGGATGATGAAGGCGGTGATGGCAACGATGCAAACGCCGAGGAGTTATGCCAGGACAGGCCAGGGGACGAGTACTTCCGGTTAAACATCGAAGGAGACTGTCGTGACGTCGTAAGGTAATTTCCAGCTTGTCACCGTAATTTATCATAAATCCACGTCGTCGTTTCAACGCGAGAAAAAAAAAAAACCATTCTAACTAAGTAAGAATTATTCAATAAAATTTGGCGCAGGAGTTCTTCAAGGTTCCAAAACACCTCGTCACCGTCCAAAAATAAATACCCTTTCTAAAATGTTTTTTCAAATAACATCAAATGCATAGTCAAGTATGATTGTATCAGACACGATTATTTTATCGACTGGAGCCTGTTAATCGAAGGTCAGATAGTTAACGGTACTAATCGCAATGCAAACGAGGAATCGATCCGATCAGTAAATTATTTCATCCGGTTCCTTCGTGATCGAATTCCGCGCGAGGGTTCAAGGCGAGCCTGATACTGGATACAGGACTCGCCTTCCATTCGATGACGACACCGTGTCCTGACTCACTCGTTTCGTTCTCAAGGACGCGCGTGCAAAAATATCCTGCGGCCTCCTCCACTTTCATTTTCACTCGTCTTCCTATTATTTTTTATCGCAAAAGGATTTCTATAGAAGTTTAATGTATCCTAAAAAGATTAACGATCCTACGATTATTCGTATTTTATAAATTGTATCAATGAACGTTCATTGGAAGTCGTGATTCGTCTGAAAACGAGATAGAATGTTGAGGATGATGATTAATGAAAAACAGATGCGACAAAGCGACCGAGATCGGTGTGACCAGATTGGCTACCGTGCGATGCCCGACGGGGTTGGCATTCGACATCGAGAGGCAGACATGTGATTGGAAAACGAACGTGAAGAACTGCGACCAACTCGAGAGTAAGCGATACCATTATACCTGACTAAAATTGCTTTTGTTCAACGTGGAACAGGTGTACGAAATCCGGCCTGAAGCAAATCACGTGCCCGAGCGGATTGGCCTTTGACTTGGACAAACAGACCTGCGACTGGAAGGGCAAAGTCACCAACTGTGACAAGCTCGAGAGTAAGTCGTCGTGGAACATAGGGTGTGTTGCCGCTTCTCCGTTTATAGTCTTTCCCAAACTGCGCTTATTGTTATTCCTTTTATTTTTCATAAAAGAATTATCTCTCCCATAAATGCTTTTCAACGTTTACGACGTTATAAATATAATGTATTTATAATGTATTATAAATTATAAATGTATCCGATTTCTATTATTGGTTTACGTATCTCAAAAATTATATTTTATTTTGTCTATAGATTTCCACCGACATAAATGAATTAGACTTCTATTGTGAGTTTACGTAATTCAATATCGTCATGAATATAAAAATTATATTACATTTTTAATTAAAGAATATATCGAGGGATAACAAACGCGCTTCCTGGTGGAAAGCCTGAAACGTTTTCATCTCTAACGAGGGGAAACGTTTTTAAATTAAATACGGAGAAGGTACCGGCTGTTTCGTAGACTCGCAACGTAGCACGCACATACGTAAGGTAGAACTAACGCACCCAGTTTTCCTACGCACCAGCCTAGATCTAACACGATTCTTCTCGTTTCCACGAATAGAAACTATAGAGAAATATAATACATATGTAATAATGTCGTGTTTCCTTACTTTCTAACGTCACGCAAAAACGTGTACATATTTTTTCGCACTCGAGTTACGTACGAGCGAATTAAAAAGCTGGATACGAGTCTATACAGGAATAAAAGTTAAATGAAATGACACAGTAAATTACGTGAAGTGCAATGATAATTAAATGTAAAAGGAAACCCATCGAGATACGTTCAAACGATCAGTAAAAGAGTTTGTTAAATAAATCGTGCACATTGCTTTCGACTCTCGCCGTAAGGTTCGAGTGAAAATAGATGGTTACATGTTTCGGCCGCTTTCGATTCGGCTGTAATCACCAGTCCGGCCACTTTCGATTCCCCCTGGCTCGATCCCAGACTGGTTTCGATTTTGAACGAGAAAGTGCAACGAGAAGAACGTGCGTGCCTTCTAACCCAGTTTCACGCTTGCCCCTTGCTCTTCCTTGTTCACGCAATTTGCTCGACGCCTAACCGAGAACGTCCAATCGAGCCCCGTGTCAAAGTCGTTTCGCAATCGACAGAGGAAAAAGTTCAAAGATCCTGATACCGATTGTGCCCTCGGAGAACGTATGGCCGAGTCAAACGTCTCTCTATTTATTCTGAGACTTAGTAGCAGACGTGAGATAAACGGAAAGCTATTTAAGATCTCTGATACAGATAAAGAGAATAAGGATAACGCAATTATCTAGAAGCTACCAGTCTTGAAATTCCACGGTCGATCATTCGAAACCGACTTCGGCACGCAACTATTTTTCAGCTTTATATTCTCTTGTACATATACGCGGCAACACCCATACACAGCACCCGGTTACACACGCGATTCTTTTCTCCTCGCTCCAGGTACGAGGTAGCACGCGTTCTCGATCGGTGATATCTCGCTACTTTTTCCCTCTCGTACACTGCATATCACTTTTTCTTCTCTCTATCTCATACACGTGTTCTCTCTTTACGTCCAGATCGGTTTCGCTCCGACGATCTGGCCTCCTTCGCGCGAGTGTTCAAGATATTCAGACCTGTTCGCTTTTACTCCCGCGAACGATCATTAAACTAATTAATTCCACTTCTCTTTCTCTCTTTCTCTCTCTATCTCATCTGTTAATTTTCATACTCGTATTTTTTTTATTGGATCGCATTCTTCGAACGCTGCCGCATACTTTTATTTTTTTTCCGTATCCACTGCGTATTTGTTTTACTTATACCTGTAAACGTCTACTGATTTTTTCTTCTATCACTCTCACGTTCGTCGTAATCGGTCTTGAGTCTAGACAATTTTCTCGTGGGACTCGACTGCTCCGATTTAACTCGTCAAGATTTTATATAAATAATCCAACAGTTTTATAATAGAATATTCCTGTTTACTGCGAGTTATCGATCTATTTACCTCACGGTTGATTAGTCTTAGACACTAGTGTCCCGCCTCCCCGAGCAATCGCTTATAGAAAAGTTCAATTAAAAAAACTGCGAATCACAGGACGGAAGCCATAGAATTCGTTGGAGATTTAATTAAATCGGAACAATCTCCGTGTGTGTTTTCTCTGCTCCTACGACGCGTACCCGTGTGCGTACACGTTTAATTATTTGAAAATTCATATTCCTTACGTCGACGAGGTGTCCACTCTTTCTTTTATTATTTCTCTATCTGCCTGTTCTCGCCTGTCGCAATCTCTTCGCTATTCTCTCTCTCATCATTATTGCTTGCCCGTGCGTGTGTGTGTTCTTGTTTAATCTTTATGGGACTTAGCGTGCGAATCGTTGCGAGCCAACGAAATTACACTCTCGACTTGGACGGTTGTTCGTGATGGGTAAATCATGGGTCTCGTTCGTCTTCGAACTCTTCCAATTGCCATGCTGCCTTTTCAAGATTCTTGAAAAGGTGTTTGTAAAAAAAAAAGGAACAAAGGACTGTGTAGATTGTTTCTCTCTTTGTACCCATCACGTTGGTCCTTTGGGTCATTTCCAGTCGCAAGGGAGTCAGAAAAGGAATTAAAAAGTGACGAACGAAAGGTTGAACACAGTGGCGTAGGAACTGTCGACACGAGGACAATCTAAATCCCCAGTAAATAGTATCTTACGATTAATACACGTGTACATAAATACCAGATTACACATAGGAACCGGTAAATAGTTTCACAAGCTGTAAATTGTAGTTCGATACTTAATGTACAAATTAGCAGCAGTCAGCTTTGGGTAATGTTGAATTTGTCTCGCACGGTAGCAACCCTTTAACACTTTTGATCAAGGATTGTCCATTAACCGCGTGAAAAAGTGTCAATACGTTTACCAGATCGTGGATGTTCATGTACCCATTGCAATTTTAAATAATCGATCAAAAGACGGATTTAAATTCTTATTCAATTACATGTGCATAAAATATGCATGAGCATCCACTTAATTACTAGCCTGATTATCGAATCATATCCGTAAGGTAGAATCCTGGTTCCGGTGCCACTGTGACATGTGAATTAGTAAAAGTAGAATTTGCAGCAGGTGGATGCCGATTGGTCGAGCAATAGTAGTTAGACATTCTTTAGCCGAGGGTCGCGGCCCGGTTAACAATAATTACGGTTGCAGAACCGCGTAAGGTATTGCCCATCCTGAGGACCGACGAGCCAGTCTGTCCCGAGGGCAAACTGTCGTGCGGTAACGGCGAGTGCGTCGACAAGGAACTCTTCTGCAACGGTAAACCGGATTGCAAGGACGAATCCGACGAGAATGCCTGCAGTGAGTATTCGAGCCCTTAAGCCCATTTCAGAATTTCTTTTAGATACAACTTTTTATCCTGATTATGTAAATGCATTTTGATGATGAGGCTGAGTCTTTGTACGAAATTTAAACTTAAGAGATTTTTATGATTTTTCAATTATAGCTGTGGAAACCGACCCGAATCGCGCACCAGACTGCGACCCGACTCAATGCGCGCTTCCTGATTGCTATTGTTCCGCCGATGGTACCAGAATTCCTGGAAACATCGAGCCGTCGCAAGTACCACAAATGATCACGATCACTTTCAACGGAGCGGTGAACGTAGACAATATCGATTTGTACGAGGAGATCTTCAACGGGCAACGACAGAACCCCAACGGATGCCAAATCAGAGGAACGTTCTTCGTGTCCCATAAATATACCAACTATTCAGCCGTGCAAGACCTGCACCGTCGTGGACACGAAATTTCAGTCTTCTCATTGACGCACAAGGATGATCCACAATATTGGACTCAAGGAACGTACGACGACTGGCTGGCGGAGATGGCTGGCGCTCGACTGATCATCGAACGATTCGCTAACATCACCGACGGTTCCATTATCGGAATGAGAGCGCCGTACCTTCGTGTAGGTGGCAATAAGCAGTTCGAGATGATGGCGGATCAGTTCTTCGTTTACGATGCCTCGATCACTGCTTCTCTTGGCCGTGTTCCCATCTGGCCGTACACTCTGTACTTCAGAATGCCACATAAATGCAACGGAAACGGTGGAAACTGTCCCTCCAGATCGCATCCGGTTTGGGAGATGGTCATGAATGAATTGGACAGAAGAGACGACCCCACTTTCGACGAATCCTTGCCTGGTTGTCACATGGTCGACTCTTGCTCGAACATCCAGACTGGCGAACAGTTCGCCAGGCTGCTCAGGCATAACTTCAACAGGCACTTCAACAGCAACAGGGCACCGCTCGGTCTTCATTTCCACGCGTCGTGGTTGAAGAGTAAGAAGGAGTACAAGGATGAGTTGATCAAGTTTATCGAAGAGATGTTGGCCAGGAGCGACGTTTACTTCGTCACTATGGTTCAGGTGAGTGAATCTTGATCGTCAATTCAACAATTGCATTTGGAAATTTTATAGTCTTCATTGTTTTAAGTAATTCTCGTTGATTTATAAATCTTCTTTGAGATTCTTGATCTGACTTTTAACCGCGATGCAATTTTTAGTTACAAAAAGTTTTATTCTTTAACCGACTACGCGAGACGTCTATTTTAAGAGAGACTCCCCGGAGACCCGTTATTACGGCTGCCTCGGCTTATTCCAATTTATTTACCATTTCCAATCTCGCCGCAACAGGAGTTTCTCATTCGCGATCCATCAAGCCACGAAGCTACTTTTATTTCGCTTTTACGTCGATTTATTTTCCGCTTTCAATCTAGTCGCACGAGTCTCTCCCCCTGACTATCCCATTTTACTCGCAATCTCTCTCGATCATTCGGTAATCCATCAGAAATTGCCTTCGATTTAGCTTTATTTCAGTCCTCGATCGAACGCAATCCGATGCAACACGTAACAGGAATGTAAATTATTACGATTATATATCTTCTCAAACCGGGATTGGAAGGAAAATTTTATTTTTATTAGAAAGTTATAAAAATAGCAAACGTCTGACTTGTTACACGGTCGTTCTACTTGCAGGTGATCAAGTGGATGCAGTCACCCACGGAGCTCTCGGCACTCAGGGATTTCCAAGATTGGAAAGAGACCTGCGACGAGAAGGGTCAGCCGTACTGTTCTCTTCCCAACGCGTGTCCTTTAACCACCAGGGAACTCCCCGGGGAAACTCTTCGCCTGTTCACTTGCATGGAGTGTCCGAATTATTATCCATGGCTGTTGGATCCAACTGGCGATGGTTTCACCGCAAACAAAAAATGAGCGATCCGGCAGAAGAGATCTATCTACCGTATGGCGTGTATCAAACGTGTCTTTTTGATAAACGTGCGCCAAATCGAGCGCAAAACGTTTCGCGAATCTCTTGCCACGATCACTCGATAATTCATTCAAAACGTTATATTTAGACTGCGGTTTTTATGCATTCGTAAGAAGATTGATTCTGTAGAAAATATAAATCTTGCGGTGCATAAGAATGTACGAAATATTAAAAGCGAATAGGTATTGCAAAGATTGTTCAAAAATTTATTTTTTTAACTGATTTGCATAAAAATCCGCAGTTTAATTATAGAGATTTTTATTGTGATATTTTTATAAAAGGAATTACAGGATACAATTAGATTTTTGTATTGTCTTCGCAGGAGGGGGAGTTCCTCTAATGGATCGCGAAACGTTTCTGCGAGTTTCAGTAAGGAAGGAGTTGGATTCCTTCTTCAGAGTCCTTCAACTTGTACATAATCACCGTAATTCCTTGCCCTCCTGATCCTTTGTCCCTTTCTTCCACGGCGCGTTCCGCTGCCGTACACTCTTAGGACTTAAGAGACGCGTGATTAAGTGATTCTTAGGGTTCTTGTATTAAACTATTTCACAATAAACGTTCTACGAAACCAATAAACATTTTCCATTCACTCTTCATTCATAATCTTCTCATTCATTATCTTCATCCCGATAAATTAGCGTTATTAATAAAAAAGGGCATATCGTGCCAAATCTTCACTCTTTTTTTTATTTCTTCTTGGCGTAAATTTAGGATTTTCAAAATCGCAGTATGCAAAAACAACGTTGAAAAGAAAAGTTAATCTGAAGATATGTAAAATTGAGGGAGAGGCAATCACGTTCTCCGGAGCCTTGAGAGGCACCGGTTTCCTGCTCGTAAAATGTCATTAAATGGAAAGCCTGCGGGCTCCTTTCGATTTCGGACGGCATTCCTTCTTGAAAGCGAGCTGAACGTTCCTTGCGATTTCTTCGTTTTCTCGAGGGTGTCGGTAAAATGAATTCGCTGTATTTCATTTAACAAAGTATATTTGAGCCACGAACACTTTTCCTCCTATGGCAACATGTTCCTCTGTTACGGGAAATTCCTGTTTCCCGTGGAATGCGTTATAAAACTGATAAAATTCCATGCGTGATACGTCTCCACTATCACTAAGTGATCACGTTTGCTTCTAAAGTGAAACGATAATCGTGAATTCGCCTGTTAGCCAGGCGTGATAAAAAGACAGAATAAAGTTCAATGTTTTACGCTGATTAATATACATGTCGCGTTACGACATCTGTACATGTGAACGCCGTATGTATGTATGTATGTATGTATGTATATACAGAAAGGATTTACATAAATGCAGTAAAGGTCAGAGAAAGGTCTCGACATTCTGTACAAAATGAAAAGTTGGTTCTTAAACGCGAAGAGAACCGAAAGTATTTTGTGCATTCTAATCGAAAGATAGCTATTTCGCAAAATATCTATTTACACTATCTTCTTCGGAACGAAGTTACCCAGTGCAAATCAATTTTTAATTATTGTACCACTTCGTTTTTTTAAACTTTATATAAACGAAGCGTGTTAACTATTTGCTAATAGAACTGCATGATCATGTTTATTTACGAAATGGACCGTGCGTAAGTGTTTGCAAATTCGAACAAACCACTGCACCATTATTCCCGTACTATTAATAATTAAGATCTAGAAAAAGCACGTCGCTTAGAAAAATACTAAAACATTTACTTGTTATGTATTCTCAGGTCATATTCCAAGGTAACTGCAGAAGATAAACGCCCCGCATATGCTCAGAATAATTAGTATTATGACAAACCAGAACGGTAATGTATCTGCAAGACAAAATTTAAATGATCTTAAATATTTTTCGACAAGTAAATCAATCTAAAAATGCTTTAGAATTACTTACGTCTAAATGGAATACTATGTATACAAATCTTGTTGTCCACGGAAATGCTAACGACCGCAGTTTCGGTGTTGCTGGCAATGGTAGGACCCTCCAGTTTCGTGGGCAAAAATTCTAGACCGGTTACGAACATACTATGTGCACCAGGTACATGTAAAGCTCTCCTCAAACTGAACGCGATGTATATGTCCACGCTCCCAGAGAACATTGTCCCAACGGCGAGGAACTTTCCATCGTCGGACACAGCCAAAGCAGACAAAGTTTCTTTGTACTGAACCGAATTGATTATATTTCCAGAGTCCACGTCCCACATTTGCAGGAAGCTTACGTTATTCTTCCCGACCACTGGATTCGACAACATGAACAGTTGAGCTTTCGACTTATTCTCTTCTAACTTTCGAAATCTGCATCTTTTGTACAGATACTTTGGTCCATTCGGGATTGACCAAGTCAGTTCCTTAGACTTTGAACCGTTGCTCACGTACCACAGGAACGCTTTCCCATCCTTTGCTATAGTTGCGATAAGTGTACTGTCTGGACTGAAGTCTATATCGTCTATTTCCTTTGTGTGAGCTTCGAGATCGTGCAGTTTGTGTAGCTGTGGGAACTTCCACAATCTTACGTGGCCGTCTAAGCCACCTGTGGCCATGAATTTCCCATTTGGACTTACTCTAACAACCCTCTGAAGAGGCTCTTCTTCACTGTAAAAATGTTTGACACAAATTATTCTTGTTTCATGGAATTCTTATATTTTTATTTGAAGTAATTACCTGAAGTCTGTTTGTACACTGTCTGCTGGCTTTACTATTAACTGAAGCTTCTTGCTCTTGATATTAGAATTGTCATCCTTAATTTCTTCTATTCTTTCTTCGGGAACAGCACTGTCTTCCTCTTTGTCTATGCTTTTCCTGTGCCTAAGACCTTCCTTAGCGTTAGGGCTAGGACCTTTGAGGACCTCTCCATTCTTCGTTGTGACAACCTTGCTAGTCACGTTGTAAAGTTGACAATGACTTTCTTGGCCAGCAACGATCCAAATTCTCTTTTCATCATTGTAAGTTGTACAGTTCATTACAACACTCGGTCCTGTCTCGTGCCTCGTCACCTCTTCGGCAATGAACTGAGATCCATTGTGTGACAACTCGAATATTTCCTGTGGAATGACATTTGATCATTAAACAGATTTGAAATCGACGAATTAAGAAGATCCTTACAAATCCATTGGCAACTCCAGTTTTCGAAGAGCCTCCACCACCGCCGACCAGGATGTGTCTTCCTGTCAACATCTGCAGGGTGTACAAAGGAAAATTCACCCTGGCTAGCAGGTCGCAATTGTTTCTCCTGGAAGTCATGCTGTGTCGATCGTACGACGACCACGTCACCGGGAATCGTGTTTCGTCTGAATAGATTATTGACAGCCAACGAGCATGGCCATTAGAAGGACTTTCACGAAGTTTCGCCGCACTCGAAACTTTCCTCGCGACACTCACCACTCACGACTTCAAGATTCCTTTCGCTCGAGAACAGTTAAGACAGACAGACGACAAAACAGCGATGAACACGTATTCAATCCCGCGCGTAGTTCTCCGAACGTTCCGCAAGGTGACCACAGTGTGAATTTCCCAGCCAGGACGACGTCTGTTCGCTAACTCCGCGAATGGCAAGATGGCTGGGGCCATTGTGCGTTGTTTTCAAGTCCCGAGGAGGCAATTAGGTGAGTTTCGATATTCCTTTGTCTCTCATTCGACTCCGTACGTCCGGTATTCGAAAGCTTCACATCTGATTTTGACGTACAAAGTGTTGACATTCCGTTGTTTCTCGAGGTCGCGCGATTTTCGAAGTTCTCCCTAGTTCCAAAGGGGCGAGGTTATGTAATTAAAGGGATTCGTTGACTTTTTAGGTCTCCTTGGGTCGTCGTTGACCAGCCAACAACAGAGGACCCTTGCCGATGCAGCCCCGGAAGGAAAGGTAAATTTATATTTATCGTTTCTCACGAAACTGCGGATAATCATTCATTCCTGAGGAAGACAGATTTTCTGCTGGTATATATGTCATACTAATTGTTTCTTTCGATTTTTTAGAAAAGAGGTGGATTCCTCGCCGACCAGGATCGTATTTTTACGAATTTATATGGCAGGCATGACTGGAGGTTAAAGGGCGCTATGCAAAGGGGAGATTGGTACAAAACCAAAGAAATTGTTGAGAAGGGTGCTGACTGGATCATCAATGAGATCAAGACGTCTGGTTTGAGAGGTCGCGGAGGGGCTGGTTTCCCATCCGGCATGAAATGGTCTTTCATGAATAAGCCATCTGACGGAAGGCCGAAATATTTAGTAGTTAACGGAGATGAGGGAGAACCTGGTACCTGTAAGGATCGCGAAATTTTGCGTCACGATCCTCACAAGCTGGTGGAAGGTTGCTTGATCGCTGGGCGAGCTATGGGAGCCTGTGCCGCTTACATTTACATCCGCGGAGAATTCTACAACGAAGCGTCGAACATGCAGGTCGCTATAGCAGAAGCTTATCAGGCTGGGCTTATCGGGAAGAACGCCTGCGGTTCCGGATACGATTTCGACATCTTCGTGCAAAGAGGAGCGGGAGCATACATTTGCGGAGAGGAAACTGCTCTCATCGAGTCCATCGAGGGAAAGCAAGGAAAGCCTAGGTTGAAGCCGCCTTTCCCAGCCGACGTCGGACTATTCGGATGTCCAACCACGGTTACGAATGTTGAAACCGTCGCTGTGGCGCCTGTACGTATTCGACACCTATTCATCGACGTTGACAAATACGTATGAAATTTTAATCTTAAATTAAAACGATGTATAGACGATTTGCCGACGAGGCGGAGCGTGGTTTGCGTCATTCGGTCGTCCACGTAATCACGGAACGAAATTGTACAATATCTCCGGACACGTGAACACACCGTGCACCGTTGAAGAAGAAATGTCCATTCCCTTGAAGGATCTTATTGAGAAGCACGCCGGTGGAGTAATCGGCGGATGGGATAATCTTCTTGGCGTGATACCAGGAGGTTCCTCCACTCCCGTTATTCCCAAGAGGTAATTAAATTTAATATTACGTCTTTAAGCTCATTTTTAATCATTCGTATAACGTTGCAGCGTTTGTGATACGGTTTTAATGGACTTTGACGATCTCGTCAGAGTGCAAACCTCATTCGGTACTGCTGCTGTGATAGTGATGAACAAGCAGACAGACATTATAAAAGCTATCGCGCGTCTTATTAGCTTTTACAAGCATGAGTCTTGCGGTCAATGTACTCCGTGCCGCGAAGGAATCAGCTGGATGTACAAGATCATGAGGAGGTACATTTACAATGATTACAAGAATTGACATTTAGAACGCCACGCATTAAATGATATGTATCTGTTCAGGTTGATCGAAGGAAAGGCAGAGATCCACGAAATCGACATGCTCTGGGAGTTGACTAAACAAATCGAGTTGCACACCATCTGCGCTTTGGCAGACGGTGCGGCATGGCCAGTTCAAGGGCTGATAAGGCATTTCAGACCAGAGATAGAAGCTCGCATTAAGCAGCGCAAGCAAGCAGGTGTCTCTAATTAAGAATAAAGGTACTGAGTCTGTATAGAAACGTTGAACCCGTTTACTACTACCATGTCGAACGAGCGAATGAAAGGATACGTGAGTGTATTTATACCCTGTACGATATTGTATTTATTTACAGTGTATATAATGGCGAGCCGAGGCGCGGTGTAGTCGAATTTCTTATGTAATTCCGTCGGTCTCGATCATCCGTCGACGATCCGGTAAATAAAAGAGATAGAAAAATTAGTGATGTGCGTTTATGTAGGAGCAGAAGGTTTCGATGCACTTCGATTTCCTTTCGTTTCACTTTTCTCATAAACTAAACGAAAAATGAAAGAGATAGTTTGCACAGGGCACATACCGAACGATATTTTTGCATTTTATTCGTTCATTATACAAGAAAAAAGTTTTCTAGCTCTAACGTTTCCGCTGACTACGGATACAGATAATAATGTCGCTCGGATTACGGTACAATGTGCGTATACAATATACAATATATATTTATATATATATATATAATATATACATACAAAAGCGCTCGCTTGATTTACAGACCGATGTCTTTCTTCGCTTTCTATCTCTCGTTTTTCTTGGGACTGTCTTTTAAAGTTTTCCATTTATCCCAAATCCGTTTCTGTTATCATCTTCGCGATATATATATCATCGAGAGTTAGTTCCTTACTTTTTTCATTTTACTTAAATAAAATTAAGCTAGCCGTTACAATATCGGGATAACTTGCTTATTTCTTTTATTTCCTCGCAAGTCACCCCGGTGAGTTAGTAAGCGCACACACTGTCTTTTATGATAGGTCCGTTGTTACATTATCTCCCTTCTATATTACCTCAATCTAGCTAAAATCTCTGTCCGCTGTTCTCTGTTTGCCTTTTGTTCTCGAGAATCCGCAGAGGCAACGGGAATTTTCTCCCCCTCTCTTATTTTTCGCCCACGTTCGCCTCTGATAATTCATTTTCATATCTACGTACAAAGCTCTTCGTATAAAACACGATTTTTGTTCCCTTCTTGCAATATTTTCGAAGCTCTCTCCAGGGTAAAATTTTCGAGTACACTATGAATTAAGCTCCTCTTACGTTTACTGTCGTCATCTCCACTTACGGCATCGAATAAGATCCAATAAAAAAAAGAATTACAAAGCTACGCTGCAGGATAAAATTAACCGCTCCTTACGTCAATGAAACCTCGAGGATTCCCGTCACCTCTCGATGATCTCGAGGCACGCGATAAAAGCCCTATTTGTAGCCCCGCTAAAGGAGACGAACGTTGACTCGTAGCAAAATAATGTACGACGTTAATCTCGTTATTTCACACGCTCGATTGTACTTGTTGCAAGTCCTGCCACTTGGACGCGGGTCTTGATCGACGCGCGGGAACAAAGTACACGTACACGTACACGATATGACTTTTTGAAAGAAGCTCGCTCGCTCGCACACTCGCCATTCAATATTTTTATTTAATTTTTCATCATTCTCTCTCATACGTTCTCTCTCGCTCTCGCTCGCCGGACACGCGCTCGCGCTCTTTGGCATGATCGTTGGCTATATCCTCCTGGCAAGATCACGCTTTATTGTTGGAGACCCCTGCCGCTGGACCTGCGCCATTATTCAGTTTTCCGGTATATATAATCGGCCATAAAAATAGACGCGTCTCTATTGCGGTTTCAATTCACGCCAGACCTGTGGCCTGCGCTAGGCTATATCGAGGATGAACTACTCTCAGATCTCCTAGGTCAATACAATGTTACATAAATCATTTTATGTAAGTCGTTTCCACTAGAAAAATAAGCGAGTAATAATTGCTTCGAGGGATTTTTCACTCTGCCCAAAGCACAAACGAAGAAAGTTTCAATAAAGAGGAGTCGATTCCTCTTAATTGGAAGAAAAACAGCTCCGTCTCTGTCGCAGGAGGCCTTCAGAGGATATAATACAAATCCGCTTTCTTCGTACCAATCTGTACTATAAATCAAGAACACGAACGATAACGATCGATCCGGGCTCCGACGGCGTGACAGTGGCATCAATCTTCTCTCGTGCACCGGTGGCAGTGACTTTTCGACCCGTTTTCAGAACCAGTCAACCCCGTGTATCTTAGATCAGAACACTCCCATCCAACCGCGCGGATCCGGACATTATTCTTCACCATTTACTTTTCATAATAAATACGTTAAATCATTCCGAACCAATCGTTCTTCGTCTACGGAGAACAGTCACATTCCTGAAGAATCATTCCCCTGAATCATCGCTGGCGAAGATCCTCGAATACGAGCGCAGAGCAGGCGACATGTGGTCGGAGGACCAACGCCAAGGTCTCTCAATAATAATCGATACTCGCGAGTCCAGCGATCTGGTCACAGGATTGGGTACATGTACGATGGTCGAAGATCGCTCGCTGGCGGGTGGAAGGCACGGGGTAAGGATATCAAAAAGGGGTACGAAGGATGATGACAGCAGCTCCAGCTCCGGACTGGAACTATCGATTCTCCTCGGTCCAGTCGCTGGCAGCCCAGGCGGGTAACGGGGTCTCGTATTCCCAGCCCGGGCCGCAGTAACGCCATGCGTGAAGGTACATGACCAGGTCGGATGGTTTCGGGTCTCTATACTTCACTTTGCACTCGTAGCAGTGCGGGTCAACGGTCATTTTATCGTTGGTAAAACTAGAATCAGGCGGTTCTGAGCCTGTCTGCGTGCCCACCGTCACTTTCAACGACTGTTCCTGCTGCTGTTGTTGCTGCTGCTGCGGTTGCTGCTGCTGAGGCTGTTGCTGCTGCTGTTCTTCCTCTCCGAGGCCCGGCGTCGAAGAGGGCGAGGATTCTTTATCATTGCTCAGCACGCGCTCTTCTATATCCAATTTCGGTTTGAACAAACTCATCTCCGAGTCCCCGTCCATACCCAACCAGTTCTCCGCGTTGTGGATGCTGATCAGATCCCGCACCAGCTCCTGATCCGTTTTACCGATGTTCCCACCCTTGCCCTTCTCCGGTCCGAACACCACGTGATTATAAAGAGGATCGTTCACCACCGGGTAACCCAAGTACTGGAGGTGGACGCGGATCTGGTGCATTCTCCCAGTCTGAGGCTTGCACAGGACCACCGACGATTTCCCGTTGTAGCTGAGACGCTTGAAACGCGTCACGCAGTCCTTGCCCTTCTCCGAGACCTTGCACACGCCGATTTTGTAGGATACTACTTCGATCGGCTCCGAGCAGACCACCTCTTCCTCAGGGAACTCGCCCTCCACACGGCAAACGTACTGCTTGTGCACCTGAAACAGCAATTTTAAACATTTTCCTGTATTCGATTTTTAATAAGAATAAATTATTCTACAAAATCGTTCATTTTGCCTTCTATTTTATTTTGATTCTAACGGAACACATGAGAATTCTAAATCGATCTAATTTCCCAACACCCTTTCTGCCATGGTTGGTAAATGAAACACTGGAATTAAACCAGTTCGCGATGATTACGGAACAAACCTGTCTGTTTCTTATTTGGTGCTCCATCTGCCTCGCCTTCTTCGGCGTTCTACCGAACAGGAGAATGCCGCTGGTGAGTCTGTCCAACCTGTGGATCGTCCTCAAGTTCTTCAGGTTGTACTCCTTCGCGAGGATGAACACCACCGTGTTGTGCCGATACCGTCCACATGGGTGCACCTGTACAGATCGAGCAGATCCGTTTATTTTTTGTGAAACCAAGCCGGATTGTGTAATCGATCTATTCTAGGTACACGGTTAAAAATAATCGAGAAGAAACAAGTTAGACAGGAAAGAGAGTTCATTCTGGGGGAAAGAATGATTTATTTCTTTGGCAAATAAATGAATAAATATTCCTCTGTGATTTAGTACTTATTGTGACCCAATTTTCATCCTGATTTCTAATTCTAATTTAAATTCTAAATAATTATTTATACTAGTTTTTATTACGACTACAAAGCAATCGTCCAGCGGTCGAGCTGCATCTTTCAAAGTCGAACCAAATACGCTTTTCCGGTCACCACGTCAAAACTAACAGGTGTTGGACGTTTGGCAAACACAAAGGACCGAGTATGAAAAGGCGCGGTCGATCGAAATCGGTTAGCCTAACTAAGCTCGATACCACGGGGCCATTAGGGTATTAACGAGAGACGGAGGCAAACGATTCGACCGCGTGACCCGACGGACACGTGCAATATAAACGCGAACGCACGTGCAAACACGCTCCGCGAACACGCGACGACCCATTTCTCCCAGCGCGGCCGGTCATTCGAGAGAAGAAAAAAGCAATCGCCGCAAAAGGGGGACGATTTGATAACCCCACCCCCGGCTCGATGTTTGCGCCGGTGGCACCGGTGATCGATCCGAAAAAACGCCTTTTCTAATGAACGAACCGCTGTTTATTCGTTCTCTGTTGTTTAAAATAGATTTCACTGTTTTTTTGTTAAATTTTAAAATCTCAAATATTTTTGCGGAAAACGATTTTTAAAAATATCTCATTTATATGATATGATTCTATAAAATATAATCGTTCAAACTTGAAATAATGTGTAGAAACACGCCCAAGGCTCTACAGTAGAATACGACTGACCGTGGTCAGACAGACTCAATTAGAAGATTTAATATGTAATCCAATACTGGTACTTAAACCGTAAGAACAGGTACTCTAACAAACTAATCTTCTTAAACATGTAAGATTCAATACCGTTGTAAACCAATAACGTTATCTCTCAATCTACGAGCTGAACGATAAAGTGTTCAAGCACGCTGATAGAGTAACGTGCCTTCGAGTCAAGCAATTCTCCTTGTCAATCAGGATTGGATTACTGACTACGAAGAGCAGTGGAATAGTGGAGAGCGTCTAAGAGCAAGGAACACTTTCACTTGAAGGATATGGTAAAGGACTTGGCTCTAGCTTTAGCCATTCACCGGAAGGACTTGGATAGTTCTCGGATCGAGAGGACTATTTAGGGACGCGAGTAGACAGGAAGTAGCGGTGACAGCCGGAGTGCCACTCGATTTGTCCGATAATCCTGGCTCTTCATACCCCTAAACTCGTCAAACACCCCTTTCTACGTCTCTCGCGCCTCTTTCCCTTTTGTTGTCCGACCCACTCGCGCCGGATGCGCTCCAGGCGGATGTTATATACTGCCGTTCAAAAGCACGTGGCCATTTCTCCTGATATACGATCGAAATCATTGTTAAGGATGTATTGGCTCTACAGTCAATCCCGAAAGTTTATGTACCTTAGAAAAACGCATTTTCTATAATTAAAAAGAAATCAGACGTCGGAAGAATAATGCTAATAATAAATAG